CCATGTTCACTTTGCTGACTTTTATTTAGCACCAGGGCTACATTTTACAACTTTCTTAACATAATACCTGAAAATTCTTCCATAAGCCTCGGATGTACTTCGTCTTCATTGCTAATTAGCAAATGCTAACACGGTGAATGATTGTGAACAGTGCAGCTACTTGAAAAGTTTAGTCAGCTAAGCTAGCAGTTACTGTGCATTCAATGCAGCTTCATCAAACTGAAGCTAGCCTTTGGGAAATAACCAACTAACCAACATGGCAAAAGTAATTTAACTTGAATTTTATTCTTTTTGCTTCCTACAGACAGTGAAAAACAAATTGTAAATAATTTAAGGACAATAAAGGCTTCAGTGGATGCAAACACACTATTTAATCAATAAAAGGGCTTTGCTACTAAAAAGCTATTTGATTTAGAAAACAGTAGACACCAGACACTTGTCACATTTGCATTTTCAGACAACTTCTCACAATATGATCAGCTGTACGTTCCAAAGTGTACGGAGCCTTGTTTTCATCCTGCAGACTTATGAAAAGATTAAATATGACGAATGTTTAGATGTCTGGACATGTCTTTTATTGCAAACAGAATTTCAATACATTTTAAATTCTGTATTAAATTCTGTTCTGGGCACAAATGTACAGCTGCAGTCTGGGCTATGAGATGCTCCATTATTTATTAGAAGAAGTACAACAACAATCTCCCTGTGCAGCCCACAAATTGAATTGATCAAGGCTAAAGTGCAGTGAAACCGTAACAAATCCACAGTTTGCCTGATCTTGACAGAGGAAACCTCAATTGTGCCTCCAGCATTCAAGTCTCCAACCAACTGTCACTTAATACAACTTAATCTAACTTTGTTTAGCGACTAAGCTACTGCAGATTCTAATGTTAAATCAGACCACGTGGTTTTAGGATCAAATTGTCTAAAAAGCAAATGAAAGCAGGCGGATGAACGTTCTCCAGGAGCCTTCAGTCTGTACAAGTTACAGAAACACATCGATTTATAAAAATGCTATCAGACACGTCGGTTTGTGCAGTCTCCAGTGTTTTAATTATGACAGCCAGCCTATTAAAATACTATACAGGTGATCTCTGTTCATTGTTTAACCTTCATGTTACATTACTTCTTATGTAAATCAACATTGGACATATTGATGAATAGTAAAATATCCGTCCATCATCTATACACCGCTTAATCCTCACTAGGGTCATGGGGGGCTGGAGTCTATCCCAGCTGACTCAGGGCGAAGGCAGGAGACACCCTGGACAGGTCACCAGTCTATCACAGGGCTACACTTAGAGACAGACAACCAAGCACACTCACATTCACACCTACGGACAATTTAGAATCACCAATTAACCTCAACATGTTTTTGGACTGTGGGAGGAAGCCGGAGAACCCGGAGAGAACCCACGCTGCACGGGGAGAACATGGAGACTCCACACAGAAAGATTCCGGGTGTCCTCACCGGGACACGAACCGGCAACCTTGTTGCTGCGAGGCAACAGTGCTACCAACTGCTCCACCCTGCAGCCCCAATAGTAAAATATGGTAGAAAAGAAATACAAGACAAAAGCTTTCGTCACTGATCCGTCAGATATTTAATCTGTTAATCTCTCATTTGCACCAATGTTGTTTTAGGACTCCTCACTTAGAAGTATTGGTATTGCGAAATACATCAATTAGTACATCAGTCCAGTGGTAACATACAATCGGAATGAAATGTGATATATGCAGTTTATGTTTATATCCACTTTAGGATAAGATAGACCTTAAATAATTACCAGGGGAATTCTGTGTTATCTTTGCTTATGTTTGCATGACGTTAGAGTCTGAATTTTGTCACTGTGGACATAACATAAATCTTGTTAAGATTTAAGCATCTTGTTTTTATGAGGTTGACTGATATAATCTCTTGTTAGACTTCGGGAACACCAAAGGACTCATCACCGCTAAAGAAACAGAATGCTCCAAAGACACAACATGTATAATAAAGAATCTTAGACATTTCCTTTCACCAGTTTTTTTTTTTTCAATCAAGGATAAGAGCAGTTAACTACAGTTCCCACAAATTTTATAAACTAAAAACAAAAAAAAAAGGCAACATGGAAACATTCAAAACGTTGTCCTTTCCTGTAATTCTGTGTGCAGATGCCACTTTTTGTTTTTTTTCATTCACTGACTCTCTTTCACTGACATTCGACCTAAATACTGCACAGGATGAAGCCACACTACGGCTGGTTCACATCAAGTCTGCAGATGTGTCAGAAGTCAACACTTGAGCCTGGATTAAGTGGAGCTGTAATCTTTTTCTCTTAGGTTATCAGATAGTCAGGACAAATACGAGTGCCATCATGTCAGACTCCACTATGTTCAGCACTGCGAAAGGCAACAATAGAAATAACAGCTGTACGGTACAGGAAGTACTGAAGAAGCACATTGGCTGTATAGAATTATATGCTAATTGTTTCAATCAAACTAAAAAAAAAGGCAGGAACAATCATTTGATTACTTATCCTTACAGCTGAACAAAAGGAGAATAGTGATTCCAGTGGTTAACCATTGCCTGGTACTTGTTGTTGCAGCTTTTTTCCTTTCCTCCCTCAATCAATTAAAATTCAAACCTGCCATTCGCGGTGCCTGAGTTTCACGCCATCTCCCCAAAATAAAGTGACAGGTGACAGGTGGGTTGTGGAGGGCTGCTGGTTGACAGGTGGCCCGTTTCCATGACGCCAGAGCACGTAGTGATTAGCGGCCCACCGGTGGCCCATGTGGGAGAGTGAAAGCTTTATGTTGGGTACGTACAGATGCTGTTGGACTGTTGTGCTGCCGACATCTGCTCCCCTTTGGATTTGTTAATCCTGTACAAGTTTGGATCTGTTTGGCCAATGAGTGTTGTCAAGCACAGATGTCAAAAAGACTGTTTTTTATCAGCTGTTCAGTTGGTCAGTTGAACACTTTGGTCGAGATAGAAATGATTATAGCAAAAATTGGACGGGCTGCAGTGACATTCACGGTGCTCAGAAGAACGCTTCTGACTTTGGTGATCCACTGACTTATCTTCCACACAAGTAAGGTAGATATGAGCATAAGTTGGCATAAATGCTTTAGTTTATGACTTTAAATAACAGACAGTACTTGCCACTGTTACACCACCCATTGCTTTGTGGACTCTGTTTTTAGGTCTACAGTCTGGCGTTTGGCCATTTTGCTCTTTTGCGCTGATCAGGTGATGAGCAGTAGTGGGCGGCTGTGCCTCAGGTGGTGGAGCAGTTAGCTTCTAATTGCAAGGTTGGCGGTTCGATCCCCTGCCAAGACACCGGGCAAGACACGGGACCTGAAGTTGCCCCTGATGGCAGCTCTGTCGCCATTAGTGTGTGAATGGGTGAATGAGGAAACACTGTAAAGCGCTTTGAGTACCACTAAGGTAGAAAACCATTTACCATTACCCTAAAACATGCTCTGCTGTTTATTTTCCCCAAATGGGACCATCATTTACAAAATGAAAAGCATGCCGTATTGACGTAGACCTGAACCAAGCAAATGAGACCAATAATTCGTTAGGAAAATGTTTACAGAGGTAATAAATCAAGACAGAAATACAGTCATTGATTTCTAAAAATCGTGACTTCCTTTTACAACCTGAGACATCACATAGGACGCAGCAGTTTGGGAAAAATGTCTTCTTGCGATTTTTCTGAAATTTATTGCAATTGCAATTTTACCTAACTTTTAAAATTCAAGTTTCAGTTTATTATGTGATGAAGCATCACCACGAGACACCATGAAAAGTCTGACTGTCACATGAGGAGAATGGCATTTTTCCACTGACGATGGATGAAAAAATGACTCACTTCATAACTGTAATTTTATTTTTACAATTTACGATTACAGATTTTCACTGTTGTTAAAAAACTGGTAATAACAAGTAAAATCAAAAAAAAAAAACGTGTCAAAAATCTGTGTTTTTGTTCTGTTGAGGTTGTAGAATTCATAGACTGTATAAAAGATGGACGTAGCTACCGTGACGTCACCCGTTGNATTGAATATACACTATATATACACATGTAGTTAGTGTATCCTCAATATTTAAGCTAAATCTGTGAGATGTGTCCAATAAGTGAATGTAGTTCACGTTAGAAGAATAATTCATTTCTCTGCCTGCCACACATTTCATATTTCTCATTTGTGTGCAGCATCATGTGCCATCGTCATAATATGGTGTGATGAACATGAAAATGTGAAATCACGGCAGCGTGCGGCGTAAGCCTCCCGTAAAACCAGGAGCGAGAGGGTGTTACATATTGAGGTCGTAGCGCATTTCTTTGTGAGGCTCCATAAATCTTCTTTACTGTAAGAGAGGCGACCCGGTGTGGCTTAAGAGCAGCCGTGGAGAGCTTAATAGAAGCGCAGTTATTGGGATTATTCCCTATTGTGAAGCTCTCTAAGGTGTGACGCCCGAGCGGACGGGCGAGATTAATTGATTATTGAGCTCTAAATCAATGATAATCAGTAGTTCTGTGTGTAATTCTGGATCTCAGGTCTTTGTCTTGATCTCTGTCCCTGGAGAAATCTGTTAAGTTGGTCCTCATCTGTTTTGCTAATCTTTTGGTTTTCACTCCCCCGGTCTTGGACGGGCATCCCATTAACATGTTGAATAGGCTGCAGAGCTTTCAGCCTGCCACTAACCTTGCACTGTTTTTGTGCTCTCTCTATTTTTTTGAGTCATAAAAATGGTGCACTTTTAACAAACCAATTCAGACTCCTGCTCACCTCCCCTGACCTCCATCCACTTGTTGCTCTGCTTTCTGTGTAAAATAGATTTTCATAAATGGTTCATGGATGTTGTCCACAGAGATGTTGTTGCTCTGCCTGGTGAGTAGAACATGGCGCTGACACTGCCAGGCTCTGCTCCTCTGCGAGGGTAAAGGCTGGAAGCTGTTGTGTAGTAAAGCCTGTTCCTTCGATAAACCTCTCAACCGGCGTCAGACTTTCGTTTCCAAAACACTCCATACTCACTTTGAATAATGCATAAATCAGACGCTTTTCTTTTAGCTAAACAAATGCTGTTTTCTCCTGTGAAGTGAGTTGAGGTCGTGGCTCGGGTCGTGGATAATGATGGGATTTTTATTTTCTAGTTCTTTGTCAGAGCCTTGATAAGTGGCACTAACAGGCTCATCATCCATGAAGTCTAGCTTCCTTTATATATAAGATATTGTTCTAAAAACGGCATTGAAGTGTTGCTAGATGACATTTAAAACTCAATTTCAGTGTGCTGAAGTAAATAAAATGTTAATTTACTGTGGAAGGTCTGAAGTAGCACCGCTGCTAATATTTCTATTAATTTCTGATTGATTTATTCATTTTTAATGGGAAATTACTCATTTAGTTGAAGGTGGTAACTAGTAAAAAAAATTAAAGTTAAAATTAAAAAAGTGAGTCATCTTTTGCTAAAGGCCAAAGTGATATAAGAGAGTGAAAAACAAAAAATATTCTCTTTAGTGAAAGTCGAATGAGAAAATGTTGGCAGTTTTAGCCAACATCTGACCACAGACTGTGTAACAGATGGACGTAGCTACCGTGACGTCACCCGTTGGTTTCTGCACTGAGAAAATGAAGCCAGGGTTTTGCTACTTCCTGGTTGACATCTTGGATTTTT